GCTCTTTTCGGGAGAGCGTGGGAAGCTCCACAGGGGACTTGGCCATCAAAGTCTTTTGTGCCTGGGACTTCAAGGTGATCCAGAGGCGCTCGGTGAAGCTGCAGTGCGAGAACATCTGCACCCAGTTGAAGGTGGAGCAGCTGGGCAATGCAAAACCCTCAGACCCCAACCTTGCTAGTGCTTTGTCCATCGCCCCTCTGGGTCCTGCTGTGCTGCAGTGGGACAAAACCTTGCTCCAGACCCAAAGCGGATTTGGCAGCTCTGCTGCTGCTCTCTTGCAGGAGCTGCTGGGGGAGCAGCGCTCCCGCTCCCATTCCCAGAGCCGCTGCCAGTGCCTGGGGCACTGCGTCATAATGCTGCTGGCCTGGGTGCTGGCTCTGGGCTCGGTGTTGGGCTGCGTGCTGGCTGTGCACTACTTCTCAGAGCACATGCACATGGTGAGTGCCGCCTCTCACCCTGGGATCCTCTGTCCTGGGGTTGGAGGGACAGGGCTGAGATACTGGGGAGAGAGGCAGGGACAGCCCCACTGCAGCTGTGCTCCTGGCTGGGCATTTGCTGCTCTCCCCAAGGACACCACGCCTGGCTGCCAACAGCTGTGAACTCAGCCAGTACCTGCTCACCAGGTTCAGCAGGGACAACAAGCACGGGGCAGTGGCAGATTGCAGCAGGAAGCCATTCTGCTGGTCCTGCCCCTTGTGGTGTCCCTCCTCAATGTCTTGATGCCGCACCTGTACAACTTGCTGGCGATGTGGGAGAAGCAGGACTCCCCAGTGACACAGGTCTACGTGGCAATCACCAGGTGGGCTGGCTGGGGCTGTGGTGGAGGGAGTGTTCTGCACCTGCACCTGTGGCAGGCAAGGAGGCTTTGGGGCCAAGCACCCCATCTGTGGGGCTCAGCCCTTCATTCCCCAGGCTCAGGGACTTCTGTCACTGCTCCTGCTCCCCAGGAACCTCATCCTGAAGATGGTGATCCTCATCCTGCTGTGCTACCACTGGCTCAGCCGGAGCGTTATCTGCTCGACAGAGGAGGTCAGCATGGGGCTGTGCAATGAGCTGGTGGCATCTTCCTTATTAGATATCAGGAGAATTTCTTCCCTGTGAGGGTGGTGAGGCTCTGACATAGGTTCCCAGAGAAGCTGTAGGTGCTCCATCCCAGGAACTGTTAAAGGCCAGGTTGGAAAGAACTCAGAGCAACCTGCTCTAATTGGAACGGTGTGTCTGCCCATGGTGGGGAAAGAGATGAGCTTTAGGGTTCCTCCCAGCCCAAACCATTCTGTGATTCTATGCCACACTTGATTGTCCCCCAGTGCTGGGAGACGTGTGTGGGGCAGGACCTGTATCGCTTCATGATGATGGATTTCATATTCGCCTTGCTGGATACGCTCTTCGGGGAGCTGATCTGGAGGTAACGTACCCCAGGACGTCCCCCCACCAGTGTGGCATCCCTGCATGGTCTCAGCTCTCTGGTGCACCCAGCCTCTGCTGCCATCAGAGGGAGAAGGTGGGGTGTGAAGTCCCCCCAGGCAGTTTGGGAGCAGAGTTCACTTCCACCCAGGCTAATTCTGGAGAAGAGGCTGAAGACAAAGCAGAGGCCAGAGTTTGATATTGCCCGAAATGTGCTGGAGCTGATCTATGGGCAGACCCTGACCTGGTGAGATGTTTCTGCCTGGTGGGGCTCCTTCCTCTGCTGGCAAATGCCTTGTAGTCCCCAGGAGCCCTGTGGGTGCTGTAGCTGTGCCCACCACTGTGTCCCCTGGGGCTCAGACCCAGGCAAGCTTGTCTTTCCCCTGCTCCCAGGCTGGGCATTCTCTTCGCTCCACTCCTGCCAGCTGTGCAGATGCTGAAGCTGCTGCTGTTGTTCTATATCAAAAAGGTGTGATTCCCCCACCTCCTGCAACTCCTCATGGGGTGAACTGTGGTGACACTGTGCCCTGTCACTGTCAGCCTCTGCTGCATCAGTGGCACCGCATGGAGCAGCCTCAGCCTTGTCCTTATGGACTGAGGGGGCTTTCTGGGGACAGCGTGTCCCTGAGTTCACTTGGCTCCCAGTGGGTGGGACGGAGGGGACAGCAGGGAATGCTCTCCTGGAACTGGCAGTCCATGGGACACTGCTGTCTATCAGACCAGCCTGATGCGGAACTGCCAGTCCCCCAGCAAGCCCTGGCAAGCAGCACGCATGAGCACCGTGTTCATCACTCTGCTGTGCTTCCCCTCCTTTCTGGGTGCAGCTGCCTTCCTCTCCTACACCATCTGGTCGTGAGTACCTACGAGGCTGTGGCTCAGGGTGCAGGACCCCCGGCTGCCTGGAGGAGAGGCTGGGGAGACCATGGCCCTTGTCCCTGGCATCCCCCAGCTGCAGGCTGTGAGTGCTGCCCCAGGCAAGGGAGGTGCCTCCCTGCTGCTGGCCCATGCTCACTTCCTCCAGCTGTTCCTGCTGTAGGAGGCAGGGATGAGGACTCCCTTGTCCAGTCCTGGGGATGCTGGGGACAGTGAGGCTGGGTCCCTGGAGGGCTGGACAGACAGGCAGTGCCCTGATCTGGGGCCAGTAGTTGCTGGGCTGCCCATTGCTCTAAACACCCTGTTGGTCTGTTTGCTCAGGGTTCAGCCATCAGAAACCTGTGGTCCCTTCCGCGGGCTGGAAACCATCTACAAGTCAGGGAAGAGGTGGGTGCTAGTGCTGGAGAAGTCCAACCCCAACATCACCTGGTTTGCCTGGGTCTACCAGCACCTGTTGGAGAACACAAGCCTCCTGTTCTTCATGTCTGTGGCGCTGATGTGAGTATGGACCTGAGCCCAAAGCTGAATCCCGGGCCCTCACTTTGAAGGTCCTGCTGTCACAGCCCTCAGTGGGTCTGGGAGCCAAGGTGTCACCCCAGAGTTCTGTGCCCCATCCCAGTGCCAGGAGCACAGTGTCCCTCAGCTTCCTACCTGGCTACCACCATCCCACCCTGTTGTCGTTGCAGAGCTGTGATCTACTTCAACATCCAGGTGGTAAGAGGCCGCCAGAGGGTCATCTGCCTGCTCCAGGAGCAGATTGCCAATGTGAGCACTTCCCCTGCCCATCCCCACTGCTTCACAGCCTGCTCCAGCCGCAGGACTGCCAATTTGGGCTCTGGCCCCAGCAGCGCAGCCACTCAGCCACCCCAGTGCTGCTCACTGCGCTGTCTCTGACGTTGCAGGAAGGGGAAGATAAGGTATTTCTTATTCAGAAGCTTCACTCCGTTTACGAGCAAAGACACAGGCGCTCCTGAGTGCCAGGTGAGGCCAGCATGAAGAGCAGTGGGGAGGGACTGCCAAGGCACCCAGAGCTCAGCCATGTGCACAGATGCTCCTCTGCCTGTCCCAAGGGATACACAATCCTTGGTGTTTCTGAGGCCCGGGGATGGGGAAGAGGATGGAGGCAGGTCTGGGACAAGGACTAAGGATCTTACAGACTCTCTCCTATTAGTGTCAAGCTCCATAGGGAGGAATGGGATGGAACGGACTCTGCTTGCACCTGGGACTGCATCTGTCCATCACAACACAGCGCTGGAAGCTGAGGAACCATGGAGTGCTGGGGAAGATCTTCCTCTTGGCATAGCCAAGGACCCATTGGGACATGTCACTGGGAATGCTGCATCACAGGGATGCAGGTGCTCTGCTGCCTGGAGCTGCTGGGATGCAGAGAGTACAGGACCAGGCCTGCTGTCACACCCCAGGACACAGCTCCATGCAGGACTGCCTCACCAGGACAAACCTGCTCCGTCAGGGCTCACTTGTTGCAGAGAACAGCCCTTCAGCTCTCCCTCCTGCCAGTGTGCCCTGGGCTCTTTTCAGAATCCTTTGGGGACCATGGAGTTTGCTCCGCAGCCACCTTCATGCTGCCTAGGGGCAGCAGGCATGGAGCCAGGAGCTGCCAGGCATGGACCGAGCTCCAGCTCAGCACCTGGCTCACCAGGAGAGCACCTAGCTGATTGCAGTCCCACAAACAAGGTCACTGGGCCACCCCCAGCAGCCCTGCACCCACTGCCCTGGCTGATGGGACAGACTTGGAAGAATCACTGTGCTGCTGAGTGCTGGGTTGGGCAGGGACTCTGTGGGCTCAGGCTGACCTAGGCTATTAAAGTGCTGCTGTGCAGGAGTGCTCTGGCTGGTGTCTGGACCGGCTGGGTAGGAAGCAGGCAGGTGGGGTTGGTGTGTCAGTGCTCTTCGTGGTGGTGACTCAGCAGCAGTGTCAGGATGTGCCTGGGCTCCTTGGCAGGGCCTGCTTTCCCATGGGGGCTGCCTGAGGCAGAGCCCAGTTCAGCCTACACTGCTGGAGTTAAAGGCCACTGCCACCCCACTTGCCACTCACCATCACAGTGCAATAGCTGCAGCCCCCAGCAGCAAGAGCCACTCCCCTCCGTGTCATACTCTTGGCATCTGCAGGCCCTGGGATGGCACCTGTCCCAGTGCCACAGCACTGACAGGCCCAGGGCAGCGTGTGCTGTGCCATGTGCCAGGCACGGGCAGCCCCAGTCCCCTATGACTTGGCACCGGGGCTGCCAGCTGAGGCAGCTGCCTGCCCAACTGGGCTGGGCCACCAGTGTGGGCACAGGGCAAGTTATCGGCACGGATAGACACTGCTTAGTGGTGTGGGCACAGAGCAGGTTCTCTGTACAGCCCCAACTCTTCCTGGGGTGCATTAGGAAAAGCATTGCTTGCACATCAAGAGAGGTGATCCTGCCCCTCTGCTCAGCCCTGCTGAGGCTGCAGCTGGAGTGCCATGTCCAGTTCTGGGCTCCTCAGGACAAGAGGGACATGGAACTCCTGGAGCAGGTTCAGCAGAGGCTACAGAGACAATGAAAGGACTGAAGCACCCCTTTAATGAGAATAGGCTCTAAGCACTGGGCCTGTTCAGCCTTGAGGAGAGACAACTGACAGGGGACCTCATCCTCTGTCAGCAGGGAGGTGTCAGGAGATGGACTAGGCTCTACTCCATGGTGCCCAGCAATGGGACAAAAGCAACAAGCAGAAACTGATTCGCAGGAAGTTCCACCTAAATATGATCTTGATGGGTCCCCTCCAATATTCTGTGATACTCTATCAGAATGAACTTCCTGTGCCAGTGACAGCACACTGGCACAGATTGCCCAGAGAAGGTGCATCCTTCTCACTGGAGATAGTCCAGAACTGTCTGGATGCAATCCTGTGCCATGTCCCTACTTGACCAGAGAGATTGGACCAGATGACCCACTGTGGTCATTTCCAGCTTGACCCATTCTGAAATTGCCTGAGGCCAGGTGAGTGCCGGAGAGCAGCCATGGGCTGGCATTTGCTGTAGCTTGTGAGACATCTCTACTGAAGCATCCCAGTCACTGGTCTTGCCCTAGCTACACCCAGGTCACCCAGTGCCTCCCCAGGGTCACCCCACTGGGCTGGCATGAGGCTCACACAGCCAGAACTGCTGGCAGGAGCCCCCCATGCACTCAGTCTTAAACCCAGGGGGCCTTACCCACCTCTGCCATGCTTAGCTCAGCTCAGGTGCTGCTGCAGCCTCCAACCCCACTGCAGGAACCCCTCCTGTGCCTGGAGCTGCCAGCACAATCTGGCCTTGGTGGCTTCTGCTTGTCCCTTTCCTAAAAGCCCAGGTTCTCCCTCCGAGCACAAGGCAGCCACCAGCCTGAACAGTTTGGTGGGAGTTTTACTGTGATGTCCCACAGGGATCCAGTCCAACAGCCCAAGGCACAGTCCTCGGCTCTGCTCCCAGTCCCAGGCAGGGCACCTGCTCCTTTGCCACCTCCTTCTGTGACAGGATTGTCCTGGGCTGCCAGAGGCACCTGGCAGGGCTGGGGTCAGCAGGGGTCTTTGAGGGCGGTCCGAAGCCACTGCAGGACATCAGCCAGGCCGGTGCCATCGCGGGCGCTGGTCTCCAGCATCGTGATGGGCTGCGTAGCACAGGACACGATGTCCTGCATGCGGAACAGTGACTTCATCTCCACCAGTGACATGTAGCAGGGCAGGTCACTGCAATGGGGAGAGGGGAGCTGCATCAGCCAAGCACGATGGCTGCCCTGCCCAGCCCAGCCCCAGCTCAGGGGTCTCCAGCCTGAGAAGTGCAGCAAAGAACAGCCACTGCCCCTTGGCACCCCCACCCTTTGGGTGACCTCCTCCTCACATCTTGTTGAAGAGCACCAGGACAGGCACAGAGGCGAGTGGCGCTGCTGAGAGGACTGAGAGCAGCTGGACGCAGGACGAGGAGACCTGGGTGGGGTTGGAGGCATCCACGACGAACTGGAGGGAAGAAGAGAAAGCAGGGTGCGGGTGTGCCGAGAACAACCTCGGGCCGGGCTAGTCCAGAGCAGGGCACGGAGGAGGGAAATCCCACCACGGGGCGAAACCGAGGAGCCAGACCGCCGCCCCGAAAGCCCCTCTCCCCGCGTCCATCCCTCGGGACCGCGGCCCCGGGACGGGTTCCCAGTGCCGCTCACCAGGAGAGCGCTGCACTCGCTGTAGTAGCTGGGCCAGATGGGGCCCATGCAGCCGCCCAGCTCCCGCACGGTCACCCTCCGCGGCAGCCGCAGGTCCGTCAGGTTGGTGCCCACCTACGGGACAGGCACCGGGACCGCGGGCTGCGGCCGTGCCCCGCGGCCGCCCCGCCGCCGCTCGGCCCCGCCGGGCCGCACCTACCGTGGGCAGCGTGGCCGGGGGCTCGCCCAGCTCCGCGGGCTCCTCGGCGCTCAGCTGTGCCTCGCGTTAAGGACACGGCGGCTCGGGAACGGTGCCCCCGGCCGGCCCGCCCGCCCCGTCCCTCCCCGGTGCCCCGTGCCCCACGGATATGGCGCAGCCGCCGCAGCAGGAGGCTCTTCCCGCCGCCCGCCGCCCCCAGCAGCAGGAAGGTGGGCGGGGAGCGGCCCGCCGCCATCGCGGAGCCGCCCGCGGAAACGGCCCTGCCCCGGCGGAAGCCGGAAGCGGAAGGGCCGCGGCGGGGCGGGGGCAGCCCGGGCGGGAGCGAGCGGGCCGGGCCGGCGGCGGGCGGACACCATGGGGCGCGGCGGCGGCACCTTCGAGCGGCTGCTCGGTAGCGGCGCGGCTCCCTCGGCGGGCGGGACGGGAAGCGGGTCGGCGTCCGCAGCGCTTGGCACTGGGAGCAGGCGGGCCCCGAGCACGGCGCTGGCTGGGCCGGGTCGGGCTGCGGTGCCGCAGCCCCGTGCCGAGGTCACCGAGCGCCCGGGGGAGTCTGAAGCGGGAGGGTTGGTGCTTTCCGGGTGCGATAGGGGCTTGATCCCCGAGCCTCGGGCGGCGCCACGCCCGGAGCGCTCCCGGGAGCGCCGGTGGCGGAGCGGAGCCGCGGGCGGCAGCGCGGCTCACGGCGGCCCCGCGGGTTTGTTCATTGCAGACAAGGCCACGAGCCAGCTCCTGCTGGAGACAGACTGGGAATCCATCCTGCAGATCTGCGACATGATCCGTCAGGGAGACACCCAGTAAGTGCTCCTGGGCTTTTGGACGTGCCGTGGGCACAGCTCTCCTGTCTGCGCAAGGAAGGAGACCCTCGGAGAGTCTCGGACCTGCCAGCCCGTGGTTACACACGTCTCGTTATGCCCTTCTATATGAGCATCAGAGGGGCTGTACAGCACACCCAGACGTGCTGGCATGCTTCGCAGACCCTGGGAGCTGCAGATCACCCCTGACCTGAAAACGTTAGGGAAACTCAAGCCTGAGTGTGCTTATTCCTTCCCAGTTTCCCTCAGTGAATCATATACCCCTGAGCTAGCCGTACCTTCTCTGTCAGGGTGGATTGTCAGAAGCAGGTGGGATCTCCCCTCAGATTCTTGATCCCCTGAGAGCATATCCCCTCTTCCCTACCCAGAGCAAAATATGCCGTCAACGCCATCAAGAAGAAGGTGAATGACAAGAATCCCCATGTGGCCCTGTACGCGCTGGAGGTAAGGACACCTGGCTGGGAGCACAGCAGGGGCTTCTCACTACCTGCCTTCAGGCTGCACAGCTTCCTGCAGCCCAGCGTGCAAACAGCCTCTTCCTGACTCTGGCACAGAGGTTGTGTAGTGGTCAGGCCAGGGCCTTCACGCTTTAGTTCCATCTTGGCTATCGAGCAGGCAAAGCTGAGACTTGGGCTACTTTCCCTGGGGTTGGCTTCCACAGAGCAGAAGGCCCACAGCCCCTCACGGAGGTGAAGGACAGCTGGCTCCTGGTGCAGGGAGTGGGTTGGCATGACCCCAGCACACCTCACTGCTTAAGTACTGCCCCATGTTCAGCCTGTAATGTGTGCTGGGACCCCCACAAGTTGGAGGGGAGGCTGGAAGCTGTGAGCTGATGTTGTCTTGACCCTTGCAGGTCATGGAGTCGGTGGTTAAAAACTGTGGCCAAACAGTCCATGACGAGGTAGCCAATAAACAGACCATGGAGGAGCTGAAGGAAATACTCAAGGTAAATAGATTTATTTTACTGTCTTTTTTTTTTCCTATGGAAACAGCAGCAGCAGGAAGAAATGTATGTGTCCTCCATTGTATCCTCTTTGGGTAAGGAGCAGAAGAGAAATGAAAAATGCACTTCAGAAAAGAGCAAACTATCGTGTAGTGTGAAAGGGTGAGTGTAGGCAGTGAAGGAGGGCAGGAGGGCTTCTGGGATGAGGAGAATGTGGTGGGAGCGGAGGTTTGTCTGCACTGTGAAATGGCAGGAATGTGCTGTGGAGGCCTAGGCCATTCCATGGTAAATGCTCCTGGATGCAACATTCGGGCTGGGACAGCAGAGGAAAACAGATGATGGCCTGGCACCTGTACCAAGGACCTGGGTGAATTCCCTCTCATGGAACAGTGTGAGACACATAAGCAGATAAAGCAAAGGAAAAACCAGCTGGAGCTGCCTCTGTGTCATGGCTGTGTCATTGGTGTGTCGAGTTGTTCAGGAGCTCTGCAGGATGTGACTATGGCTGCTGGCACTGACAGGTTGTTGTTACAAGCTGTCGCCAGTCTGATGCCTGCTGGAGCTTCATGTGTTCTTGGACTGGGAAGTTCCATTAGTGAAGTGGAAATGAGAACTCCTGTCTCCAGCTCCCAACTCAGAACAGCAATGCCCAGACAAGAGCTTACTAGCATCATACTGTTCCTTCCTCACAGCTTCTGTCTTCCACCAGAAATAAACAAACAGGTGACCCAGATCCTAGGAGGACAAGCTGTGTGAGTCCTGTCACCTCACACACCGAACAGGGTGTCTCTCCTGTCACCTTCCTGTTAGCGCTGACTCAATCTCCCTGCAGGATCTTCTCCTGAGGCAGGGACACTGCCATAGCATGACAGCCAGGTGTGGTAGCACAGCCACTCCAAGGGCTGAGGAGATTGAATCAGATCCAGGGATTTTGTGGTTCTCTCAGTCCTTGCCTGCCTCAGAAGTTTCACAACTGTCCTATTCTTCTCCCACACTTGAAACTTTGCTGCTTGTGAACACCTGATGCTGGTAGAACAGTCCAAGTTCTAATGAGGTTCAGGGCTATGACATGTATGGAGTGCAGGATTTTGCCAAATGTTCTAGAAGTTGGAGCTCCAGGAATTGTCACTAAGTGATGCTGTGTGGGCCAAGGTCTTAGCTAAAATCAGAGCTTGACAGTGCTGCTGTGCTCCCTGGGAATTTCTGGAACAGCCAGTCATGTGGATGTGATCACTTGGGCAGCTGATGACACGGCAGCTCTGAGGCTGGCTGAGGTCAGAACAGGCTTGCCAACTTTTCTCCAGGTCCCTGAAGTGTGTTGCAGTTGCCCCTGCCTCCAAAGGGCAGCTATCCCAGCTGTCTTTATTTTGTCAAATCCTGAGGTCACTTGGAGTACTCCTGGAGGGGAAGTGCTGGCACCCTCCAGGCACCCCCCAGCACTGTCAGGGGGCAGGCAAGGTGGGCTGTGCTCTCTGGGCAGCTGGGGCTCCCACCGAGTTCTGAGTGCGGGATGGTGGCTCTGCTGAGGGGGTGGACACATCTGCTAGGCACCTGCTCTAAGCATCAAGGCCACAGCTCTGTTCAGTCAGTCTGTGCTGCTTAAAGGACATTTTGTTGTTTGTGCTGGAGGGGGCAGTGGGGCAGCTGAAGGGGTCTGTTTGTGCTGTGCATTGTCCTTGCTACAGGTTTCTGACAGCTCTTACCTCTCCTGAGTACTTTAGTCTCTCTTTCCTGAGTGGTATTTCTGGCTTCTCTTTAGGGGGTTCACAGCATCCTTTGGGTTTCAGGGACATTGTCTCAGATGCTTTTTTCTCCTCCCTTCCTGTGCAGAGGCAAGTGGAAACAAGTGTCCGCAGTAAGATCCTATACCTCATCCAGGCCTGGGCTCATGCCTTCCGCAACGAGCCAAAGTACAAGGTGGTGCAGGACACCTATCAGATAATGAAGGTTGAAGGTGAGGACTATGGCCACAGGTGAGGGGACACCTGGTGAAGCAGCTCTGCTCTGCAGGAACTTGGCAGTTCTGTGCCTGTTGTGAGCAAAATCTGGACTTGCAGCACTGAGCTCTTCCTTGGCTCCCAATACCCAATGAACACTTCAGGGTGACTAAATCCTGCTGCAGACTTGGGATGGTTCAGTGGTCCCAGGACCAGGGCAGCCTTGCTCTAGTCCTGCAGCCCAGCCAGTGCTTCAGGGCTGGCAGGGAGACCTGAAAAGCCCGAGATGAAACTGTTCTTGGGGAGACTGGAAGCAAGTAATTGTGTCCTCTGGGACGGATTTGCTGTGGGGCAGTTCTTTTTTCACAGGCTTTTGTTCCTGCTCCCAGATGGGTCCATGGTCCCACTTGCTGACACAGTGTTGGTGTGACATTTTCCCTTCTGTGCCAGGAAGGGACTTCTGTCAAGGGCAGGGACACGCTGCTGCCTCTGCTTCCTTCTGTGTACCAGAAACCCTGCAGGCAGTGGCACAAGCTTGGAGGGTCAGTCCAGCATCCTGAGCTGCTGTTGCCAAGCTCTGTCCCTTGAAGGCTGAAACTCACAGCCCTGCCTGACCATTCAGTGGGCTTTATATGGCCCTCAGTTCAAAGTACTGAGAAATAATAAGCCTTGTCCAGAGGCCTGTGATGTCCCTTGTGGATGTGTAAGGGAAACAATTGGGGATTGTCCTTAGACCATGGCTGAGGGGAGCCTGCTTCTGGTGTGTCAGAGGGAGGTGCTGGTCAAAACAAGAGGTAGTGCTGAGCTGGCACCTGTAGCATGAGCTTGCAGGCACATGGCCTCCCTGTGCCAGAGGATTCCTCTCACAACTGGGGTCCGTTTCTCCTGCAGGGCACGTCTTCCCGGAGTTCAAGGAGAGCGACGCCATGTTCGCTGCAGAGAGGGTGAGCTCTGTGGTGGGGGAGCAGCTGGCGCTGTGGGACAGACCTACTTTCCCATCCCCTTCTGCCAAACCTGTAGGTCTCATATTCCTCCATTTTGTGTGGATTGGAGACCTTGCTGGAAGAACGGACCAGGACAGAGAGTCAGACCCATCATTCCTCCTGCTCACTGGCCTTGCAGCAGCTTGGCAGGCTGGATGTGGCAGCAGGGCATTGCTGAAGTGATTGCTGTGCAGTTTCCTAGTGAATCTTGTGCTGACTGGGAAAACATCACAGTCTCTAAGGAACATGAGAGGGGATAACTGGGGATTAACATTTCCTGTTGAGCTGCAGATGCCCCCAGTTTCCCCCATGAGACATGAGAGCCCTCTTAGCCATCAGAGCTCCTGAAAGGGCCACTGCCAATGCACTTCTCCCTCCTTACTCCATTTCCCTTGACCCCTACAGGCTCCAGACTGGGTGGATGCAGAGGAGTGTCACAGGTGCCGAGTGCAGTTCGGCGTTGTGACGCGGAAGGTGGGTGCTGCTCCTGGGTTTCCTGCTCTGCACAGCCCTTGGGACTTGGTGTGTGGAAGTGTGCTGGGGACAGACCATGTTTCCTTCCTGCTGGCAGGGAAATGAGTGTCTGAGTGATGTTGGCTAAAGGAGAAGGAATGTCTTGCCACCACACTCATGTTGCCTGTCCTTCACAGCACCACTGCCGGGCCTGTGGGCAGATCTTCTGTGGAAAATGCTCCTCCAAGTATTCCACCATCCCCAAGTTTGGGATTGAGAAGGAAGTGAGGGTCTGTGAGCCCTGCTATGAGCATCTCAACAAGTCAGTACCCTTTGTGGTGGGTTTCTTTGCCTGCAACAGCAGGGACATTGAGGGGGGAAGCAGGGAAGGTGTGGAACTAGCTCCCTGCAGAGCACAACAGGGGCTTCCCAGGCTGTGCAGGCTGGGCTGGGCTGGGCTCTCTTCCTTCCTGGGTGTGGGGTTTGCTGCTGGAACATGGTACAGAGAAGGGAGCATTCAGTCCATACTATCACTTGTCGCTACAGGAAAACTGAGGGTAAAGCTGCTGCCACCTCCGAACTGCCCCCTGAGTACCTGACCAGCCCTCTCTCTCAGCAGTCCCAGGTGAGCAGCTGCCCCATAGGTGATCTGGCGATCCTGACCAAACAGGTTGATCCCATACTGACCACCTCCTTGTCTTTCCACTTCCAGCTGCCTCCAAAGCGTGATGAGACAGCTCTGCAAGAGGAAGAGGAGCTCCAGCTGGCTATTGCCTTATCTCAGTCAGAGGCTGAGGAGAAGGAGAGAATGGTTTGTTCACTGCTGGGGTCCAGGAGGGGTTGTTGCTCTTCGGCCCAGCTGTGCTGGTCCATAACAGATCTCTGGACATGTCCTGGTGTGAGCAAGGCTCGAAGCTTGTGGAATGAGAGGGTGAAAGCAGAGCCAGGCACAGGCTGTGTTGTGGTTGGTTTGGAGAAGCCTCTGAGTTGGCAATTTTCTCTTTTACAGAGGCAGAAAGCAACCTACTCCATGTACCCTAAGGCTGAACCCACTCCTGTCACGTCGTCAGCTCCCCCAGTCAGCACGCTCTACTCCCCACCTGTGGTATGTCCGTGGCAGCTCCTGCACATAAAGTGGCTGGACACAGGCAACTTCCTGAGCCCGAGTCTGCCCTGATTGTGTCCAATTTAATGCCCATACTGAGGGAAAATATTTGCCCTGTTCAACCCCTTGCTCGTTCACTGTGTTTTGAGCAAAAAGATGTGTTCTCAGCCAGGACATAGGTGCCTCCACTGCCTCCCAGCTTGTGTCTCCTTTGAGGTTCAGCACTGTTGGTCATATGTGGCCAGGTCCAAGCTGAACACCTGTGTGGGACCTGGAGATCTCTGGTTTTGCTGAACTACATTTCTCCATTTGTCTCTTTCCAGAATTCCTCTGCTCCCTTGGCCGAGGACATTGACCCAGAGGTAAAGGATCCTGACCCTACTAGTCTGCAGCACAGGCTTGTTCCTGTGAGGAAGTGGTGCTCATTTTCCTTTTCTTCCTGGCAGCTGGCCCGGTATCTGAACCGCAACTACTGGGAGAAGAAACAGGAGGAGGTTCGCAAGAGCCCCACACCGTCAGCACCTCTGTCCCTGACAGAGCCAGCTGTGCAGCCTGGGGAAGCCCACCCTGCCCCTCTTGGGGTGGTTGAGGTAAGAGGAGGCCCAGGCCTGGGTCTGGCACCCACCGAGGGACAAGAAGCACCTGACTCTTGGGCTCTGCAGGCTGGCTGCTGACTCTTGGCACTGGGAGGTCACAGCTGACTGGCTGCCCCATCCTTCCTTCCAGCAGCAGTACCAAAATGGTGAGTCTGAGGAGAACCACGAGCAGTTCCTGAAGGCACTGCAGAACGCGGTCACCACGTTCGTCAACCGCATGAAGAGCAACCACATGCGAGGCCGCAGCATCACCAACGACTCTGCCGTGTTGTCCCTCTTCCAGTCCATCAACAACATGCACCCGCAGCTGCTGGAGCTGCTCAACCAGCTGGATGAACGCAGGCGTGCGTGGGAGCTGGGGGAGCTGCTGGCCCTGGGTGTGGGTGGGCGGCAGCCAGGGCTTCCACACTGTCAGGGTTCAGCATTCCTGTGACTCAGTGTCACTGGAGAGAAGCTGGTGTGCAGTTCAGGGTGCAGGGGCAGTCCAAGTGCTCTGTCCCCATGTTTCTGAGGCTGTCCCTTCCCTCCCCAGTGTACTATGAAGGCCTGCAGGACAAACTGGCCCAGATCCGGGATGCGCGTGGGGCTCTGAACGCTCTGCGGGAGGAGCACCAGGAGAAGCTGCGGCGTGCAGCGGAGGAGGCAGAGCGGCAGCGCCAGATCCAGCTGGCACAGAAGCTAGAGATCATGAGGCAGAAGAAGCAGGTGAGGCAGGGAAGCATGTCAGGGGTATTCCAGGTTTGCCTGCTCTGTGGCCCAGCCCAGGGCTGGCAGAGATGGCTGCCCTAGTAGGAGGGGTTGTGTGGTATTGTGGCTCCCAGCCACCACAGCCCTGTTCCCACAGGAGTATCTGGAGATGCAGCGTCAGCTGGCCATCCAGCGACTGCAGGAGCAGGAGAAGGAGAGGCAGCTGCGCCTAGAGCAGCAGAAGCAGACCATCCAGATGAGAGCCCAGATGCCAGCTTTCTCACTGCCTTATGCTCAGGTAAAGCTGCTGGGGTAGGCTCCCCCTGCCAGGTTCCAGGGATTGTGGCTTTAAGCTGTTTTTCCATCTCTCACCAGCTCCAGGCTATGCCTGCAGCCAGTGGGGTGATTTACCAGCCCTCTGGGCCCACCAGCTTCCCTGGCACCTTCAGCCCAGCTGGCTCTGTGGAGGGTTCTCCCATGCACAGCGTGTACATGAACCAGGCTGCACAAGGGGGAGCTGGGCCCTACGCTGCCATGCCCAGCACTGGTACGTTGGGCAGCTCAGCCGCTGCGGGGAGGGGAGAGCCCAGGGTGGTTGCTCCAACCTCTGCTCTCTACACTCAGATCCCAGCATGGTGAATGCCTACATGTACCAGCCGGGCGCCAGCAGTGGGCAGGGGCCTCAGCAGGGGCCGGCGGTGCCCACCACCACCCCTGCATATTCATCCTACCAGCCCACACCGACACAGGGCTATCAGGCAAGTGAGGCATTGCAGCCTGTAGCCAATTGGGACAAGGGCTGGGGGGTTCTGTGGGGCTGGGCAATGTACCCAAACTCAGCAACGAGATCTCTGAGCAGGAAGGAGGACGGGCTGGTTGGTTCCAGATCTCCAGATATGCTGCTCTTGCTGTGGAAGTGGGCTGGAGTCAGATCCAGTTCTGGGCTCAAGGGCCTTGTCTGGAGAAGTGAGTCATTGCTGTCTGTGCCACCTCTCACCAGCCTCTCCCCACAGACTGCAGTCTCACAGTCACAGAGCATCCCAGCCATCTCACAGGCACCCCAGTCGGGCACCATGGGCTACATGGGCAGCCAGTCTGTCTCCATGGGCTACCAGCCGTACAGCATGCAGGTGAGCACTCCCTGCTGGGGCATGGGTGGGCTTCAGCCCATGGAGCCGTCCTGGGGGAGGTCACCCACCACTGCCCTGTGGGTGCTGCACATACTGCAGCCCCTCTGACACCCACCCCCTCGTTCCCATAGGGTCTTATGTCTGCCCTGCCAGGCCAGGACACAACTCTGAGCAGCCTGCCAGCCCAGCAGTCTTACCTGCCCGGGCAGCAGCCCCTCTACCAACAGGTGAGTGCCACCAGCCCAGGGATTCAGGACCCAGTGGAGCACATATTCTAACAAAGCCATACATTAACAAGGCTGTTTCCTCCGCTCCAGGTGGCCCCAGCTGGGGGCCCCCCCCAGCAGCAGCCCCCACCAGCACCTGCCCCTGGGCAGCAGCCCCCAGGCAGCGGAGAGGCCCAGCTCATCTCGTTTGACTGATTGCGCCCACAGGGCGCAGGGATCCAGCGTAACACTACTCTTCATCCAAAATCACTCTGTACTTCGGCTACTCGTCCTGTCCCCCGGCCCCATGTCCCAGGGGTGGTGGGGCCATTCCTACTGCCAGCTTTGGGGACCAAGGGGCAGGGGTGCAGCCCCGCATGCCCTGCATCCTGGGGCAGCATCCCCCCGGCTCACCCACCCACCCACCCTCGGCAGCTGGCAGCCCTGGGGCCAGGCGGGAGCTGCAGCTCCTGTCGTTACCCCGGGGCTTGTAGCACAGGCCCCAAGGGCGCAGCGCTCCAGCCCTGCTCGGTCCCCAGCTTTGCCCCATCCCTGCTGTGCCCCGCTCCCTGCAGTGCCCTCATGGGCCGGGGGCCCTTCGCTGGCCCGGGCCTGTCCCTGTCCCCGTCCCTCTCGGCGGAGACCGAGCGCTATCGGTGACAATAAAGTGTTGGAACGAACTGCTGCCTCCTGTGCTGGGCGGGGCAGTGCCCACCGGGACATCCTGCCAGCAAATGGGGCAAATCTGGGGTTGCCAAGCGGAGGCAGCAGCTCTGGGGTGCAGATCCCGTCATACTTCACCTGTCGGTACTGGCCAGTTTGGCCACATAAATTTCCTCCCTACAGTGTCTAGAATGTTTCTGTGCTGTGGATGTATAGTCCTAAATTATTAAGCTTTATGGAGCATTAGAATGTATTACTGCAATTAGTGAAAGTCGAAAAGGTAAAATGACAAGGCTTTCAGACTTTATTTTTGTTTCTTTTAATTTGAATTCATTATACTTCAATTTTGCCGTTAACTATGCTGTACAGTGGAGAAATAGAACGAATTCTCCTTCCAAACATTCCAGAGAGGAAGTAATTTCTGTTCCTTCAGACATGAAATTTTTCCTACTCCTATTTAGAAATGATAAATAGTAATGGCTGTATTAGGGTTGATTTTGCTTTCCCACCGGCCCGACGTGGCCTACATCTCCCGTCGGGCATCGCTGTGCGCGCCCTGTGTCGCTGCCGAGCGGCGGCGCGGGGCGCGCCGGGAGCGCGGGCGGAGCGGAGCCCTCGGTGTCCTCGGGCCGCCATGCTGCCCGCCGCGCTGCCCGCCGCCCGCCGGGCGCTGCTGCCGCTGCTGCCGCCGCCGCGCCGCGGGGCCCCCGCCGGGCTGCGCGCGCTCGGCACCGGCCCCGCGCGGCGCTCGGAGGCGCTGGCCGGGGCGCCGCTGGACACGGCCACCAAGGAGTACTCGCCCAAGGTGCGGCAGCTGGTGCGGGACATCGCGGGGCTGACGCTGCTGGAGGTGGCCGATCTCAACGCGCTGCTCAAGGTGGGTGCGGGGCCCGACCCGGCTCGGCCCGGCCCGGCCGCGTGCGCCGCCTGACCGGCCCCTGCTGCCTCTGCTCTTCCCTCAGGAGACGCTAAAGATCCCGGACGTGGCGGTGATGCCCGCGGCAGCCGCCGCCTCCCTGCTGCCCGCCCAGGCGGCTCCGCAGGTACCGGGCGCTCCGGGAGGGGCGGGAGCGGGGCCCCGGGAACTGCACGCGCGGGGGCGGGCTCGGCCGCGGGGCTTCACCGTGCTCCGGCTGCTTCCAGGAGGAGGAGGAAGTGGTCCCGCTCAAGAAAGAGAAAACTCATTTCACCGTCCGGCTGACAGAGCTGAAGGCCTCTGACAAGGTGAAGCTGATCAAGGAGGTGAAGAACTTCGTGCCTGGAGTGAACCTCGTGCAGGTGAGGAGGTGCTGCCCCAGGCTCTGGTGTTTCACCCCCAAGTCCAGCAGCCTCAGGTCTCTGTTCAGAGGGAAGCCTGGATTTGTGCGTTCAGAAGCACAGCCTGCCTGTGTGCATCTCTGTGCAGAGACGTGGGGAACAGGATTTGGTTGCACTTTCGTCTGGCATTTTCCGTTGTCAGAAGCAGGGGGATGAAGGAGGAGGCTCAGAGCAAAGAACCCAGAGATATCAACTTCTCCCAACCTGGGAGCTGCCATGCTTGAGCTTTCTTGCAGAGCTCAGGAGTAGCCAGCATCCCTTGCTACAGCTGGGTTTGGCTTGTCTTTCTCAAAGCCATGCATTTCTGCAGTTAAATGAGCCTCTGTAATTCACACATCTTGCAATCCAGGCTTCCAGCTCTTTTCAGGGCCCTTCATTTTATAGGTGGTGCTGCTTCTTTCCTTGGAGGAGATGGGCCCCAGCCCTGGGCAGTGTCTGAGCTCAGGTCCTTGACCTTGGATGTGGCCTCAGCATGTTGGGTGATGAAGCTACTACTGCTGAAGCGTGTAATGCACTGCACATCTCCAGGGTGATTCTTTCATATCTTGGGGTCAGTAGTAGCACTTTCCAGTATTCCAGTTGCAACATTGAGCATTGCAGTGTTTGCTCCTGCTGTAGCCCAGGAGAAAGAAGTATTTGCAGATAATTTTCTGACCCATTCTTGTTGCTGCATTGCAAAGCCAGCAGAGAAGGTCAGTGGCACAGGTACAGGTTTGGCTGTCCCATGGGGATAATTTCCTGACTGTCAGTGTGATTCCTGTGGAAGTTGTTCATCTATTATTGGTCCCAAGCAAACATGAAAATACCAAACCCTGTAATGGACACAAACAGCAGACAATTAACTGATTGTTGATGCTAACTGAGCTTGGTTTTGCATGTGGTACCTGCTGGATGAGCTGTTTGTAGTGCCAATTATTGCAGCTAAATTCAAGTGTGATGTACCCAAGCCCAGCATGTCAAGTGAAGCACAAACACAGCACAAACAGCTGTGGAGGTTCTACCTGCAGAGACTGTGTTCAAAGTGGAGCTGAAGCCCTCTTACTGTAAATTTTACTGCCATCCAGTCAAGGTGGTTTTTATGAGGTTTACAGATGGATCTGCCTGTAGGGCTGCTGATAGTTTGGAGGGAAGCATATACAGTGATTACACTGGGCACTGGTGGGAAGCAAAAATCAGTCCTGTGGCAACAACTGTGTGATGAGACAGGTGTGTGATCAGCACACACAGGACCAAGGCTGTCTGCACGTCAGGAAGCTCACTGGGAGCTGCCCAGCACATGCTTACCCTCTGTCACCACCAGCCCTGGGCTCTAGCTAGACTGGGAGCATGCTGCCTCTGCCCCATTGCTGCTGCTACATGCGTCCCACTTGGCTTGAGCTCTGCTCTTTTTCCCACTGAACACCAGTAACAACTCCTTCTCCTGGCCGAGGCTGCTTTAGAATGGAGTCACACCTTCCTGAACAGACTTCAGAAATTAATGACCTGTGTTGTGTTGTTTGTGCTCATCGCAGTGAGCCTGAACAGGCTCCTGTCCAAATCCTGTCCTGGTGAGCAAAGGCATTCCTGCCCCACCAATCCACTGCTCACAAATTTGTGCCCTCCAACCCCAGCAAAAAAAGCATTTTTCTTCCACCACAGACACATAGGCATTGTACCCAGCTGGAATCAAAAGGACAAAACCTTCCTGCCAGTCCAGTGGGTACTAAACCCCCGCAGTGCTGTGGCAGAGAGCTGCTGCATGTAAGAGCAGCAGGGCCTTGTCCCCCTGGGCTCTCTTCCTTCTCTGTAGCAGCACTGCAGTAAATTTTTTAAATTAGTTAAACAGGTTTTTTTGTTTGCCTTAAGTATTGCAGTGCTGCTTAGTACTAGTAGTTTTGCTTTTAAGGTCCCTAAAATGTCAAAATACTGTGTTGTCAAGTAGTCTGTGCTAGAGCTCTGTTTTAGCCAGTGCAGCTGTGTCCAAACCCTGCACTGGCCCCCCCTCCTGCTGGCATAAGTATGTGAATCAAAACATTGCCACTGAGCAGAGCCAGCCCAACACCAGGCGGATGCTGCCTCAGCAGGTCACTGCAGGGGCTCTGCCTGCACCCACACCTGTGCAGGCCAGGGTGCACATCTAGGAACACCAAGCACAAGGTGGAAGTTTAAGGAAAAGGTTTCCCAGCAGATGTGTCATTGCTTGCGGTCAGGTTTAGCTGCCTTCTGGCAGGATGTGCCATAGTTCAAGTGTAAGTCTCGGGGTTTGTGCTGTCAGTGAGTTTCCATGGTTGGCTTAAGCAGAGGTCAGGATCATGGCTCTAAATCCAATAATCCAGTTAGTGAAAGCCTGTTTACAAGCCTTGTACTTTGTCCCTCTCACAGGCAAAGAAGCTGGTGGAGTCCCTTCCGCAGGAGATCAAGGCGAACGCGTCCAAGGAGGAAGCAGAGAAGATCAAAGCAGCGCTAGAGGCAGCAGGAGGGACTGTTGTTCTGGAGTAGTCTCGCCATGGAGAGACTGGTGCTACAGCTGCTGCCCAGGCCGGGCTCCGGACCTTTCTGAGTGCGTGTGGCACAGTGGGAGCACTCTCCCAGAGAATGCTGTATGGTTTGGCAGAGCTGTTAATTCCTGCAATCACCATGAACTCTACCTTATAAATACCAAAAAAACCTGTAAAATTATTCATCTTTCTCAAGTGCTGATTACCCCCATGCTCCCCATGTCATGGAATCAGAATGGTTTATGGCAGAAGTGACCTTGAAAGATCTAATTCCAGCCCCTTGCTATGGGCAGGAATACCTTCTGCTAGGCGAGGTTGCTTCAAGCCTTGTGCAGCCTGGCCTTGAAGACTTCCAGGGATGGGGCAGTCACAGCTTCTCTTCACAGCAGCGTGTGCCAGGGCCTCACCACCCTCACAGACAAAAATTTATTCCTAATATTTAATCTAAACCTACTCTTAGTTTGAAGCCGTTCCCCCTTGTCCTGTCACTACACACTCTTGTAAAAATTGCTCTCTCCGTCTTTCTTGTAGGCTCCCTTCAGGTACTGGAAGTTTGTACCAGCGCATCATGCACCTCTTTACACTGCCTTTTGCTGATGGTCTCACCTCTCTGTTCATTATTAACGAGAAGAACACACTTCCACAGGTTGTGGAGATGCGTGGGGGGTGGGAAAGTGTATTCTGGAGCTGCTCATTATTCCTGCGCTCAGTGTGTGCAACGCTGGTAATGCTGCCGTTTGTACCTGTGCCTCCCCCACCTCTTCACTCTGCATTTTGCTGATGGCTTCACCTCTCCATTAATTAATCCCTTAATTATTAGCGGGAAGAGCCTTCCCTGGGCTGGAAACGGGGATGTGTGTGGAGTGGGAACGAGGATTCCGGAGCCTGCGGTTGCCGCGTTCGCCGCAGGCCCGGAGGTGCGAGCCCCGGGCCCGCCCCACCCCCTTCCGGTAACGGGAGGGGGCGTGGCTTAACGGGAGGGGCGTGGCCTTGTCCCGGTGGGGGCGTGGCTTCTGGCAGAAGCGGTGCCCATGGCGGAGCAGCGCGTTTCGCGCTGGTACTTCGGCGGCCTCGCGTCGTCCGGGGCCGCCTGCTGCACCCACCCCCTGGATCTGCTGAAGGTGAAGGGGGGACACGCCGAGGAGCGCCTCTGGCGGCGTGGGGAGGCCGGCTGGGGGGATGGAGGGCGAGTGTGAGGAGCTGAGAACGATTGCAGTGGTTTGGGGGGACGGTTATGGGGGACAGGTAATGGTGAGGGGCTGAGGGGACGGTTATGGGGGACAGGTAATGGTGAGGGGTTGGGAGGACGGTTATGGGGGACAGGTAATGGTGAGGGGTTGGGAGGACGGTTATGGGGGCAGGTGAGGGTCGGGAGAGTGTGTGAGAGGATGGGGAGGAGGTTAGGGGGAGTTGGGACTGGCTTAGGGGTTCTGGAGATTCTGCGATGGAGCGAGGAGTAGGTCTGAGGGTCCTGGAGCGGCTCTGGGGGACTGTGAAGGGATGGGGAGGCGCTCCGAGGGTCCCGGGAGCGGCTGCGGGACCGGCCGTAGGGGACGGGGCTGCACCGCGGGGAGCGACTCTGAGGGTCCCGGAGCGGCTGCGGGACCTGTTCCGAGGGACCCAGCTGTGGGGGGTGCGGCTGTGAGGGTCCCAGAGCAGTTTTGAAGGAATGGGGAATGGCTTGGGGCGACTCGGAGTGACTGTGAGAGTCCCGGCGTGGCTGCGAGGGGATGAGGAGCTGCTCTGAGGACTGGCTCTGAGGTACTGGGGAACGGCTGCCAGAGGAGGGGAGAGGTTCCTGAAACAGCTTTGAGGGATGGAGAGCTGCTCTGTGCTTCTGGGACAGAAGGTCTGAGGGTTCTGGAAGAGTTGTGAAGGGATGAGGAATGGCTGTGAGGGTCCCAGAGCAACTGAGGGAGCTGGAGAACAGCTGTAGAGGTCTGAGGAAACAGCTGCTGGGGGTCAGTTCTAAGGAGCTGATTCATAGCTGTGCAGGGACATGGCTGAGAGGTCACAAAGACCCAGCACAGGGGCATGGGTAGATGTGTGGCTGAGGGGTCCGGGGAGCTCGGGTTGCCAGCTCTAGGAGCTGTGGAGGGTGCCTTGGCCAGCCCTGCCTGGATATGGCAGTGACTCTGGGGCCGGCAGTGTTGGACACTGGCCCACTGGGCTCTGAGCCCTCCGGCCAAGATGTCACCTAGGCGCCGCAGATGACCTGGCATGCCTGCTCCTGCACAAAGGGCGCCGCGCGCAGCCCTGTGCTGCCAGCACCCACAGATGGGGCAAATGCCAGCACTGCCCAGAGCCTTGTGCGCCAGCCAAGTGGCGACAAGCCTGGCAGCGGAACCGGCTGCGGAGGGGGAGGGAAGAGGCAGCCCAGGACAGGGCCTGGCCTTCCCGGGGCCATGCCTCTGGGTGAGGCTGGGACAGAAAGCCCCTTCCCACCCCATGGAGAGAGAGGAAGATGTTCCAGGCTCAGACCCAGGAGAGGAGCCAGCCCTGGCAGGGCACCTCCCCAGTACTGGGCCTGTTGCCTTGTCCAGCTGGCCCTGTCTGCCCAGTGGAGGTGGCTGCCAGCCCGTGGGAGTTTGTGTGGGGTGCCTGGCAAGGCGCTAAGAAAGGGAATTAGTCTGGCACCTGCCTCTAGGTCTGTCTCTGAGCCAGCGTGATGGCTGTGATGTTTGGGCTGCATCTCCATGCTGTCCTGTGGATGAGCAGCCCCTGAATTCCTGCAGTTGTGAGCAGCACAGCCTAGCCAACTCTTTTTGCCAGATCAATAATCACACTGATTGTTGAATACACACCTGCCTTTGGCCATGCGTTCCCCCACAGCAGAGGTTGGTGCCAGGCCTGGGGAGGCACGAGGGGCCTCAGGCTCTGGCAGGGCAGGGGACAAAGGGCACTTCATTGCACCGCTGGACTTCAGCCCCAGTGAGAGGCCCTGGCCAGCCCACCTGCAGAGTGCTTGTGCCCTTAGGCCAACTCTGTGCTGCCACTGGCTGCCCACGGGCTGCTGGCCCTGCAGCAACCAGCAGTGACCTGGCCTGGCCAGCCCATCCCATCCCATGCCTGCCTGCCCTTCCTGCAGACTTGGGACTGCAGGCAGTGGACCATGTCCCTTCATGGCTCTGCTTGCCCTGCCCACTTCAGCGGTCCCAGACTGTCAACAGCCACATGCTCTCGTCCCTGATGTCCAAAATCTGCCTGTGGGGATTGCAAGCAGGCCCCTGCACCCCTGCTGCTGCCCCATATGGGATACAGTGGCTGTTCCCAACATCCTGCAGTGTGTCCCACGACCCATCTGTGCCACAGCTTCTGTAGTGGCCTCATCTCCTGACAGCAGCCCTTTGCTCTCCTTATCTCCTGGGGCCTTTGTCCCATGTGGTTTCCACAGCGCTCCGAGCTTGCTCCAGCATCAGCCCACATGGCTCCCCTGTCCCAGCCAGCTTTTGTGCTTGTTGCTGTTGCCCCTGGTGATGGTGGGAAGCATTGGGCTGCTACAGGCAGGAAGGGGAGCGCCTGGCCAGCTGTGGGGTTTTCTTCCTGCCTATGTGAATCCTGCACTGAGGAGAAGGGGAAGTGGCTCTGGAGGCCTGCTGCACTGCATGGCCAGGATTTCACCTGCCCAGCTGCATCCCTTTGAGCAACCAGGGCACTAGCCCACTCACATATTTCTGGACTCACACCCTCTCCAGCCCAAGGTGGCCCAGAAGAGCAGGCACCACCCTTCACCTTGGGGCCGGCTGTTGAGGGCAGGGCCTGGGAGGTGCTGCAGGCAGATACCTGGGCACTCCTCTCTCCTTCCCTGAGCAGGCACCACCCTTCACCTTGGGGCCGGCTGTTGAGGGCAGGGCCTGGGAGGTGCTGCAGGCAGATACCTGGGCACTCCTCTCTCCTTCCCTGCCTCCACCCCTCTGGTGCCAGGCTGGGCCAGTCGGGTATGGGGTGTCCGTAGCTATTGCTGTTGGCTCCTTTTCAAGTGCTGCTAACCTGACACAAGCACCAATCCAAGCCTGTTCAGTGCCCTTCTATTGCTGCCCAGCCCAGCGCTGGGCTGATGTGCTGCACTCTGCCCCAGGTCCACCTGCAGACGCAGCAGGAGGTGAAGATGCGGATGATGGGGATGGCAATGCATGTGATCCGCACCGACGGCTTCCTGGCTCTCTACAATGGGCTCAGTGCCTCGCTGTGCCGGCAGGTGAGTGTGTGGAGCTCCTGCAGCACGTGCTGCTGCTGCTGAGCTGCCCTGGGCCAGGACACAGTCGCTCATTTCCCCCTGATCCAGATGACATATTCCTTGACTCGCTTTGGCATCTATGAGACTGCGAAGAACTACCTGGGCAACCAGGGGCCTCCCCCATTCTACCAGAAAGTGCTCTTGGCTGCAACAGGAGGTGAGCCAGGCAGTGGGGCCCTTGGCCCTGGCTCCCTCAGGACGGATAAGCCCCTGACCCAACTCTTCTTTGGCCACAGGTTTCACTGGTGGGTTTGTGGGAACTCCAGCGGACATGGTGAACGTCAGGTCAGTTCTGTCTGCACGACCAGGGCTTTTGGCCCATGCATGACAGCATTTGGGGTGGTGGCTAGTGCTGGGGTTCTCCTGACATCTCTCCTGGCCAGCCTGCCTAGTGGACCAGGAGCTCTGTGCCCAGAGCTCTGTGCTCTGGCCAGAGTTGTTCTGCCTTTTGGTGACAGTACCCAGCTGTGTGTGACCTTCAGGGGGAGTCGGACTGAAGGCAACTTTCTTGGCCCTTTGAAAATGGGCAACACAATTCCACGGCCTTGTGCTGGGGTCCCCGGTGCTGCAGGGGACAGTGGGGTACCGGCTGCCCCCTTATCTGAAGTGCTCTGCCTTCCAGGATGCAGAACGACATGAAGCAGCCACCGGCACAGCGGCGCAAGTGAGTGAGGGGCCAGGGCGAGGGGCTCTGGGGCAGAGGTGCGGGAGGCCTTGAGGGGCCGGTGGGATCGGCGCTCCCGGGGTCGGGGTCCGCTTGGCCGTGGGGGGGTAGCACCGGCACCGCACCGGGGGCAGTGGGGTCTGCGCCGGGGCTCCCGCCTCAGGAGCCGCCGGTGCTCGGTGGAGCGGCGGGGCTGCCGCCGTGCTGAGGAGCCTCAGGCCCTGACCCCTTCCCCTCTCACTCCTTCCAGTTATTCCCATGCCCTGGATGGCATGTACCGTGTCCTCCGGGAAGGTGAGGCTGTGCCAGCCGTGTGGGTGAGCCTGCTCCGGTGTCCTAGCAGGTGCCGGGTCAGGGCACCCTGGAAGTTTGCTCAGCCGGGGCAGGGAGAAGGGCCGGGGGATGCCCTTGGGGCTGGGGGTGTCCAGGGGAGCGCAGGGTCTGTCTCTCCTCATTGTCTGGCTGGGGCAGGGGCTGGGCAAGGTCTGGCAGGGCCTGGCAGCCTTCACATACTTGGTGGGAAAGGGTGATGTGCTGGGAGCTGACACAGAAAAGCGCAGGAGGGTGGAGCAGGTGGAACAGAGGATGAGCAGAGGCAGGGAGGAGGTCATGCTCTTTTGAAGGACTCCCTACTCCTTCAACCTGTTTGCTATGGTGTGCTTCAAGCAGGGCTGTGTGAGGAGTTGTGGACATAGATTGGGCATGGAAAGAGACTCCCGGGATAATGGAGTCTGAGTGATGGCTGAGAACTGTGCTCATCCAAATCTGTCTGTCCACAGAGGGCCTGAAGAAACTCTTTTCAGGAGCATCAGTGGCATCGGCCCGTGGGGCCCTTGTTACAGTTGGACAGGTAGGACAGCTCTGCTGGGCAGTATGTGACTGGGGTGGGGACTAGGACGGTCCCTGGTGTGGCAAGGAAGGGGGAGCATATCACTGATCCACCATGTGTCTGCAGCTTTCCTGTTATGACCAGACCAAGCAGCTGGTTCTCGCAACTGGATTGCTGTCAGACAATGTCTTCACTCACTTCCTGTCCAGCTTCATTGCTGTAAGTAGGGCCGGGGTCCAGGGTCAGCACTGGGGCTGGGTTTGCCTGCAGCCAGGGTGAGAGCATCAGGCTAGGGCTGCCAGAGCTGCTGCTCTGGGCTTGGCTCAGCACAGTGGCTCCAGGAGGCTCCTGGTCTGAGGTCGGGTCCCAGTGGGTCTGAGTCTCTCCAGAGACCACAGCAGCTGCTGGCACAGAGGTCTCCTGACTTGGCTGACTCTCTGCAGGGCCTGTGTGCCACATTCCTGTGCCAGCCCCTGGATGTGCTCAAGACCCGCCTCATGAACTCCCATGGAGAGTACCAGGTGAGTCTCACACCTTGCCACCTTGCTGCTGCCTGTGCTCCCATCTCTATGTGCCAGCTTCTGCCTCCCAGCCCCTCTCATCTCATCTCTCACCCTCTCACTCCAGGGTGTCACCCACTGTGCCATGGAAACTGCCAAGCTCGGACCACTTGCCTTCTACAAGGTACTTGGCTGGGGGCACATGGGGTGGGGCAGGCTGGGCCCAGCTGGGAGCAGAGTTTGTGGTCCAGAACAGTCCTGGGACAGGGGACCTTCCAGGTTCTGCTGTGGCAGCCCAGCTGCTTCCTGCATCAGGCCTTTGTCTGCCCAGCCTAGGCTTGGCCTCAAGGTATTGCAAGCCCTGGCCTCAATGGGACTCAGCCTGGGCCCAGGCACCACAGCTGTGCCCCTGTTCCACCCATCGAGCTCCCAAACAGCAGTGCAGGTATCAGAGGGGTTAGCACATGGTGCTGAGCCCTGAGTGCACCGTGGTGGCCATGGTGTGGCAGCACCTGCTCCACATCCTGGCCAGTGCTGACCCACGCCTGCCCACTTGTGCTGCTGCCAGGGTTGGGCTGCTGGGACAATCAGTGACAGGCACGCACTGACTCGTCCCCTTCTTGCTGTCCCCTTCCAGGGCTTTGTTCCTGCTGCTGTCCGGCTCGTTCCTCAGACTGTTCTCACCTTTCTCTTCCTGGAGCAGCTGCGCAAATATTTTGGGATCAAAGTGACCACCTGAGTCTGGGGGACCAGACCCTGCCTTACCCCAGGGGGAGTGAGCATGTGGGTCACCCCCAAGATCCCAGAACCCCTCTCTGGTCTCTGGAGCCAGTGCCGTTCCCTCTCTTGTCAGCTCTACTCCTGTGCCTTGCCAGCACCTGTCACCAACCCCCTACTTGCAAACTCACCCTTCCTCTCATCTCTATTCTCAGCATTTCCACCTCTGCATTACTACTTCTGGGTTTTGTTTTCTTTCTTTTTTTTTTGGGGGGGGGGGGGGCTGTTCTGTCTTCCCACTTCTCTACTGGCTCTGAGTTGTGTCCTTGCTCTCCCCAGCCTTGTCCCTGATGTGCCCCACAATCAGGACTGTGCTGTCTCAGGGAGTAGGGAGATGAGATGCCTGGCTCTGTACCTTGTCACACAGCCCATGGGGCTGGAGGGACTGCTGACCCTACAGCTGTGGGGCTGGGGCTTGGGGCAGTGTATGTGAGGCCCTGTCCTCCCTCTGCCTTTAGCCCCTGTGCTCCTCCCTAACCCCAGTGCAGCTTGGACCTCCTGCCCTGCTTCTGGCCTCCCACCCTCTGATTCTGCTTGGCCAAAACTCCTCAGCACTGCTGGCTGCTGGGCTCTTCAGGGATTGTGCCTCATACCAATGATGGTGGGGAACATGGCCTTGCTCTGGCAGGGCCTGCTACTGCCTGCTTGGGGACCCAGTGATCTCTTACCACAGTGCACCTACCCCACACTGGATCTGGTCTCTGTGGGTGCATCCCCGACCACCACTCTGCAGCTTGTTTCACCTTGGGACTGGGCAGACTCCTACTCTCACAGCCACTCACCCCACACTGCAGTGTGTGGGGGCCGTGAGCACCAGCCCCTCTGCTATGTGCACCCCTGTGTGTACTGGCCCCAAGGAATCAAAGAATTGGAATATCTGAGACCTTGATGTATAATAAAGAGTGAAGGTGGCACAGGGCCTGCTGTCCTGTTGGGAGGGGAGACATGGTGCACCCCCTTTTCATGGCTGAGGGTATGGGCTGGGAGCTGAGCCCCACAGAGCTGAGAGAGGGTAGCAAAGCTTGGCCCCTGGCACTGTGCCAAGGGGGTCTTCACCCTGCTGTGCCCAGCACCCCTGGTCCTGTGTGCAGAGGGAGCTGTGGGCAGGCTCCACAGCCAGGCCGTGCCAAGCTGTGCCTGGTCTCAACTGGACAGCGGCTCCAGGGTAGGGCTGTGCCAAGGGCACCCGTCACCCCTGCGGGAGCTGCCTCCTGGATGTGACACTAATTGGGCTCTGGCAGACTGAACAGAGGCAGACTGGTACAGCAGAGCAGTGAAAGCTCGTCACCTTAACAAGGCCTAATGATGCTAACTGGCATCACCGCTCTGGGCTTATACCCAGCCACAGCAGAGGCCATGGGCAGGTGAACGCTCAGGGAGCTGGGCCCTCTCCTCACAAGTAGGCGGGGTCTGCCAGGCTGTGCTTCCTCATCCCCCACATTCTGCAGTGCTGCTCCTGGGGGTGATGGGTGCTGCTGTGTGTCATGCAAAGGGCCAGCATGGAGCAGGAAAGCACTGGAGCCCCATGGCCCCCCAGCAGCATGGAGCCCTGCTCAGCCCCATGACAGCCAACAGCAGGGACATTCCAGCTGGGCTGTGGTCCCATCAGCTGCGCCAGCCCTGTGCTCCCGTGTGCACATACCCTCTCACCACATCCATTTTGGCAGCTGAAGTGCAGCAGTCACAGTGGCAGGCAAGACAGCATGTGCCAGATGCAGCCGCGAGCACAGTGCACACAGCTGCAATGCGAGGGCACTACTTATCTCTTGAGCATCAGAGAACATGGGGCTGGCAGCAGCCTGTGGTTCTGTGTGCGCTGCCTGTCCCCCGGTCCCACCCTGCCCTCTACCAGGGCCTCCGCAGCTGCCTGCAGGCACTCACCGGGGGCACGTCTCTGTCCCCACGGCGTAGAGCTGCCCCCTAAGCTCCCCTCCTGGCATGGAAGGGTGCCGGGGCCATCTCCAGGGGGGCGGCTGCGGCTCCAATCCTCGTGGCAATGCCAAGACACCGCAGGTCCCGGCGTGTGCCTTCGCTCCTCCGCCCACAGCCACGGGGACTTGCAGCCAGCGGCGGGCGCGTAGAGCGAGAGCCCGAGGGAGGCAGCGCTGGGGGATCCGGGGCTGGGCTGGGTGCGCTACCGGGCTACGCGCTGGCTGTACCCGTGTTGCCACGGCCCAAGGTAAATGTTCATGCCGGGACAAGGCACCCCCCAGGCCGGGGACTCCCTCTGCAGCCCCAGCCCGCCGGTCCCGGTGCGTCGCTGTTTCTGGGCTGTGTTTACCTGCAGCGGGACAGCGGCGGCAAGCGCTGACCCGTCACCGCCGGCGGCGGCCGGAGCGCGGGTGTTGAGGCCGGCGGCGGCGCGGCCGAGATCCGCCCGGGTCCCCGAGGGTCCGAGCAGCCCCTGCTCCCGCGGTGGGGCCGCCAGCTCGGGGCACGGCAGGAGCGGGCGGCGCACCGGGACCGGGGAAGCTTCCCGGGAAACTGACCCCCGGGGCTGGCGCGGTCTAGCTGCCCCCGCCGCTGCGCCCGTCCCCGTCGCCGAGCCGGTGCCCGGGAGTGGGGCAGGGCAGAAACAAGCGGCGGCGCTCCCGCAGCTCCCGGGAGCGACCGCCGGTGATGCGGCGGGCAGCGCCAAGCACTCGGGCGGGGCTGGGGCACCGGGCTGTGCCCCCCTCGTGCCGGCGGGAGGAGCGGGGCGCCGGGACGCGGCTCCGTGCCCGCGGTCCCTCCCCCCGAGCCGGTCCCTCCCCCTGAGTCGCCGCAGGCGCTGCCGTCGCGGCTCCGCTGAAGTTTTCGCCGAGCGCGCCGGACCCGGTCCCCGCCGGTCCCGAGATGCGCTCAGGAGCCGCCGCGAGCCCAGCCCCGACAGGTACGGGGAAGGGAGGGAAGAGGGCAGGGAGCGTCCATAGCCGCGGTCTCGGAGCTCGGGATGTCGCATGTCCCGTCGCGGGGATGTGGATTCGAGTGACGACTGCGCAACCCCGGGGCCACGAATTGGGCCCCGGGCCCCCAGAGCAGCAGCTCCCAGAGCCGCCCCGATGCTGGGTGCCCGCCCCGGGGAAAATGAGCCCCCGGGTGTTCTGGGCCTGGGGTTCCCGCAGGGCTGTGCCCGCTTCCCGTCCGCCCGCTGCCGCTGGCATCCCTGGGCAGGGGCGCTACTGTCAGACTAACAGCACCCCTGGGCTCTGCCTCGGCTGCGGTGAGCCCCCGGCCCGCGATTCCAGCCGAACTCCGTCGCTTTGGGAGTAATTCCCGGGGCAGCCCTTGGTCGGGGTGGGACGCGCGTGGTCTCCATGCTGTGGTCACAGCAGTGCCCATAGGTTTCCTGCCGAGGGGCCGGAGCAGGGGACACTTTGCCAGTTCCCAGCTCTCCCCAAGCTCTCCGGGTATTACGGGGGCCTGGTGCGAGTGCCCTTTGTGACTCTGTCCCGAGCTCTGCTGTGTCAACACGGTGTTGGTAAATGGCTTTGTTTAACCAGGACATGTCGGGTATGTGACCTTGCCGTCCTCCTGGGTGCAAGCGCATCTCCAGAGCTGCTGCAGGTCCCCTCTGCTCGGCACTGCATTTCCCTCGGGGTGGTGAGGGAAGCAGGGACCGCGAGGGTCAGCCTGCTCCCCTTGCACAGAATGGCCTGAGGACGGAGCATCAGCTTTGCTGAGTCCTTGCCGTGCATCCCACGGCTCAGCGCCCTGTCCCATGCAGTGCCTTCTGCGGGTGTACCAAATTCAGTGATTTTGGCTGTGCATCAGCAGCAGAATTTAGGGCTTGCAGGACCCCTTGTCAGTGTGCTAGTGCTGCCCCAGCTTCCAGCTCTTGTGGCTTCCCACCAATCCTGCTCCTTTCTGCACACTGTGGTGCATTTCTTTTTTTTTTTTTTTTTTT